TTACCGTAATAGGCAGTTTATGCGCGACCCTCGAAATAACGTGGCAGCTAGATTGACCGTGCTTTTCGACTTGGTGGCTGTCTTGACTGCAGTAGTTTTATCACAAGGAACGAAGCTAGAGCACAGGTGAAATGTAGAAAAGAGAAAGAATATGTATTTAATAAATATCCTGAACAGTTTTGATCAATATCTGTTTACAATGAGACGAGATCAAAATGCGTTTGAACCCAGCGCTGATGTAATGACGTCACCGATTAACGGTAACCTTAGTGTATATTTAGGTTAAATTAAAAAAGCCAATTTCTAATCACCCATTTAAAAATTACCAGCAAAACTTTTACAGAACTGTCAAAGCCTCTCATCTACACATAAATATGTTATTAAAATCCCAAACTTTCATAAAGAGCTCAGTCTATGGAGTTAGCATAACGTTACCTCCTCTGAAAACGGTTAAGATGCTAACGGACTTGTTCGAAGACACTAACTAACCATTTCTATGAAGTAAATTCAACAGAAGCGGGTCAAATACAAGCAAGAGAAGTGTCAGAAACAGTTGCATATGATATTTGTGCGATTTAATGTACTTAACTTACCGAAAGCACTGAAAACAGCAGCGAGAGAGGAGCGTGCAGCTTGTCAGTGCTGTCAGTCGCCCCGTTTCCATGGCAACTCCCTCCGCTCCAGTGTTTGATTGCTACTCCAAAGTTCAGCGCGCGCTCATAAAACACGCATAATTTACATAAATAAACATATAAAGATTTCGTAAATAACTTATATCTAATTAAATTATTATTAAATCATCCATTTAAGTTTTTTTTTGTAGTTCTATGACCCATTCATATGTGAAAAATGCCACCCCTGCACGTGGTAGTCACACCAGCACTTTTATAGTCATAATAAGTATAAAAGTATAACAAGTTTAAGTTTTACAGTTTAAGATTTGGTGTTTTTTTTTTTTACAAACACTCAACCCCCTATACCTATATCAGACGTTATGATTTCGATCAGACGCGTCGGCTGTGTCGGTTGATGAGTCAACGTGATTTCGACGTTGAATCGATGTTTTATTTTCGGCGAAATAACGTTCTGATGTTCCTACCAAATAGTGAACGTTGATCCAACATCGAAATTTGATTGACGACCGATACTGACCTTTACAACCAAAAATCGACGCTGAATCAACGTCTGCTTGCTATCTGGGTAGTCAAAACAAACTTTTAAATGCTAAAACGGCTTGCGATAGTCCTAACGCTTGCCTACTCTGCTACTACACACTCAAAAGTGTGTACTTATTCTTCACTAAAAGAGTACGTAGTATAAGTAGGCACATTGAGCCGCAGCATTAAAAGGATTATTGAGCACAGAGCATAGGGCACAGACCAGAATTCTTATAAACTTTTTAAGAGTAACTGGGGTTTTTTATAGGATATGAAGAGTTAAAGGAATAGTGAGGTAGGTAAAGTATTATTATTGTTGTTGTTATTAATGTTATTATAAAGCAGGGCAGGGATAAGGTGTGCGTGTGTAGGTATGTATGTGTCGGGATAAAGGTGGGAGAGTGGGTGATTTAGTCTGTAAACCTATTTTCTGATACACACTCCGGAGCAGAAGGTGGCGGTAATGCACCAATTCGCTGGATGCCAACCGCTGTAAAAAATATAATAAGAAGAAGAGACGCAGCATTGGTCTTCTCTTTGATATCAGCAACAACGCTCTGCCCAGCTGTTTCCTGTTTGCGTCACTCACTCACTCACTTCCTCCCTGAGCGAGCGAAGGTCGGAGGCGCGAGGTTTGTGAGATAAATTTATTTTTTTGTGTGTTTATTTTGATATCTACAGGCTCTATATCGTCTGATTTAATGAAGCTTTGTTTGTTATTTTATGTGTCGAGCGAGCGAATGAATGTGTTTGAAATTGTGTTAGTGACATTGAACTACTGCGGATGATGACCGATGTTGTATTTAAGTTTTAGCTTTAGCATTAGCAGTAGACCAGTAAATGTGTTATAATCTATCCAGCACGGAGCAACAGAGTAAAACAGACTAAAGATACGCAATCACATTGTTTACTAATGTATTAAGTGTATTCTAGAGGTACATGGCATATTTTTGTTGTTTAACAAATCCCAACGGCGATATGACCTTGCAATGTTAGTTAACTGGTTCATGCCAAAATCAGTGGTATTGCCATAATTGTGCTGACTATCCTGTTTAAGGGATAAATGGTGTGACGATACCATAGTAAAGCGATGGTAATATCGTAGTACTTGTATGATTATCATATTCGTATAATACATATTCATATATAGGTGTTTTAATGATGTCCTGTCGTGCTTTTGTTACTTTTTTTTTTTTTTTATTAGTTATGAACATATTATTTCTTATATTGTAAATACGTGTTTTCTACCTTGATTACTGTCGATGTGATTTAATGAATGTCATTTAAGAAGCATGGTAAAATAATTGTAATATCATGATGTGTTGTATTGTTCCTGTAAAACAGGAAACATACTTTTGCAGGGATACCACAGACACATGCATCAACAATGTACACATAATAAATAAATGTTAATACAGGTCACACAGTCTGCAATGGACAAAGTAGGGTTTTGTCCCTAACATAAATAATTTATACAATTAAAAATAAATTAGATTTTGATAGTAAGGTCACCCTTGAAGCACTGAAATGAGTAATTCTGTTACATTTATGTTTACATACGTGCATTTACCAGATGATGTGTGAAAACATTTTAAAAGGCACCAATATACTGCATGTGTATGTTCGCACCAGCTTTGGACTTTGGCACACCAGTGCATTCATGTTTTTACTCGTATATGACCTAAATGGACTGACTTGGGGAAAAAAAGTTCCAAAACGCCTTCATTTTGGTCAGATTACGTTCAAAATTACATCATTGACTTTAGATTTCGCTTTAAGTCAGGACCTTAAATGTACTACTGTGACTGGGTGAATTCATTAGAGCCCGACCGATGTGGGTTTTTTGGGGCCGATACCGATATTAGTGAGTGTTGTCACATGAAAAGATATAATAAAATATTTACAAAAATGTGAGGGGTGTACTCACTTCTGTGAGATACTATATATATGTATGTATGTATGTGTGTGAATATGTATGTGTGTGCGAATTGTGTAATAATTGTTTTATTTGCCCTCTCAGGAGTTGCTAAGGTTGAGGACTACACACTGCCAGCATACTTTGACCGGCGAGAGAGCCCTCTTCCTGATATCAAGTTTGTGCAGCAGCTGAGTCCTGAGCAGAAGTCTCTAAAGGAAAAGGAGAAGGGATCCTGGGCTGCGCTGTCCAAAGAGGAGAAGATTGCATGTGTGTGATATGAGTATTGTTGAAGATCTCTCTGTTGGTTCTAACTTCTGAGTTTTTATTTTAATATGCTAATTGCCTTCTGTTAATGGTTGATTTTAGTGTATCGTATCAGCTTCAAGGAGAGCTTTGCTGAAATGGGCAAGGGAACAGGAGAATGGAAATCAGTAGTTGCAGGAATTTTCTTTTTCATTGGCTTCACTGGCCTTGTTGTGTTGTGGCAGAGGAAGTATGGTATGTTTCGCTTGACTTATATACAAGCCTGTATACAAGTATTGCTGATCATCTCATCCAGGATCATACTTGCATATAATTATTGAATGTGTATGTCTTCTGTGTGTTTAGTTTATGGAGATGTCCCCCATACCTTTGATCCCGAATACAAGCAGAAGGAGGTCCAGAGAATGCTGGATATGAGGATCAACCCTGTTGAGGGCTTTTCAGCCAAATGGGACTATGAAAACAATGCATGGAAGAAATAAATTGTTCTTTACATGTCAATCTGTTGGACCAGGCCCACCCCTTGTAACTAATCATCCAATAAACAGACAAGTCTGTATTTTTTGTCCACTTACTTTTGAATGATTTTGGAAGTTTGCTTCCCCTTAAGGTTATGTATCATAAATAAAATTCCAATATGTATCAAAGGGATCGTCTTATTTTGTCTGTACATGAGCAGTATTTTATTTTCAGATTCTATTACAACAATGAAATTGCTAATAGGCTTTAATTTAAATATCGGCAATTATTAGTATTTCTGAAAAATGGAATAAGAAATTAGTAAATCTCTCTTTAAACTGTTCTTGATGCTAAGTTAATTTAGGGGTTAAAGAAGCAGAAATTGTTGGAGTGAATAACCAGCCCTCTCTTCCACCCTCAATACCACGACTGAGGTGAAACCCTTGAGCAAGGCATCGAACCCCCAACTGCTCCCTGGGTGCCGCAGCAATATGGCTGCCCACTGCTCTGGGTGTGTGTTCACTACTGTGTGTGTGCGCGCTTGGATGGGTTAAATGCAGAGCACAAATTCCGAGTATGGATCACCATACTTGGCCAAATGTCACTTCACTTCATTCTGTATGTCTCTTTTACTTGACATTTTCGGTTCAGCTCAAGGAGTCCTGTCCTAAAAAGCTGATGATCTGAATCAAGTGGATTAAATAAGGAACACTGAGAGATATTGACTTGATATTACCTACCAGTGGAGACGAAAACGCAGCATTTAATCCCGCGCTGGCACAAAAATTAAGGTAGTTGCTCCGATGGGAAAGCATGACTGGATGTAAACAGAGTTAATTGGCACAACGGCTGCGTTCAGCCCCGACAAAAACGGTGCAAAACGTTTTTTTTAAACGGAAACGGTGATGCGTTGAACACCCACGCAGCATTTAATCCCGCGCTGGCACAAAAATTAAGGTAGTTGCTCCGATGGGAAAGCGTGACTGGATGTAAAAGAGTTAATTGGCACAACAGGTAACGCACACAAGGTCTCTGCAGGACCTGATTTGCTCACGTCACAACAGTAAGGTTAGCAGTGAGGTTAGGCCGTCCTTTTCGTTGCATGATTTAAAAACACCCCACGCCTACAAATATAGAAACGGTCACGTTTATAATTTTTATTGTAGTGTAATGATTATAATTCGATTGACGGTGCGTGACGTCACTGCTACGGACAAATACGGAAGAAGTGATGTCTTCGAGCACACCTGTGGACAATGAACAATTCTTGGATACTTTTAAAAGGGGGGGGAGGGGAAAGGTGAGCACGCTCTGTTGTCTGATAATTAACTGTGAAAGAGACTGATACTCTGTGTTTTTTAAGCCTGCTGGGTTCACAAAAGAAGGGGATCCATGGCGTTCGTGGCTGGCTAGCACCACAGGCGTGAAGAAAACCGGGGTCCCACTTATTGGCCCGAAGGTAGATAGTGGGGGGGGAATTTAGGTAGATAGGGAAGAGAGAGTAGGTGGACCTGGCAGGCTGTTTGAATGAAACCTTCCTATCATTGCCGCGGAGGGGAAGGTTGAGACCTCACAGTGAGGGCAGGGTGTCGTCGGACGCGGACAGGGAAGTCCGAAATCATTTTATTTATTCTATAAGATTTATGTGTGTTGTTGTTGTTGTTGTGCTCAGCCATTGGTGATTACTGACCTCCCGAATTGTATGTTGATTACCTGTGCTGGTTATTACACATAGGGCATGTGATTTATGCTTGGAATTTCTAATTAAGTGTGCTTTGCATGAGACTTCACACTATTTATTGTTTGCTGTGAATTTGGAATGAGTACTTGGTTTCTCTTTTAAATGTGTGTTCACGGTTTAATGAAATATGACCAGTGTATGTAATCAGGATATTTAAGCGAGACAATGCCAAACGGCTGCTATTGTTAATAAAAAGTGTATTCTTTTGTAATTCCTGCTCTTGAGTGTGTTTTGAGTGCTCCTCCCGGACCAGACCGGGTTAGAATTAAAGATGGTGGCAGCATAGGTGTTAATCCGCAATAAGGAAGGTCACCAGTGGCCCCTAGTGGTGGCTGAATTCATTACAGTATGATGTGACAAGTTGAACGGTGCGTGTTCTCCATACTGCACGGGGTGAGGCTAGCTACTTCGTTTGAATACAGGCGTCAGTTTGTTTTAAAAATCTGTAAGTAAAAGTTTCTGTCAAGTAGGCTAGCTTTAAGCAACATATTCTGCTGTGTGGATGGCAAAATGACAGAATTCATCAACCCTGGACCCTGATGTCAAGTAAGTGTTTTTTTTATTTTTTTATTTTTATTTTATTTTTTTTTTATTTTATTCAAGTGACCTGTCATCCAATGATATCTTAAATGTTAATGGAAAACAGGTGGAAATTGTTAACTACATAAATTGTTAGCTGGTCATCTTGCAGTTTAGATCGTGAACTGTTTGTTGGAAGAATTTAAATGTTAATTGGCCTACAGAACTGTGTAGTTGTTTTTTTTATTTTGTTTTATTGCAACAGAGTCTGGTTCTGGTTCTGGTTCATTGTTTTATTTATTTATTTGTTTAGAAATTAAGCACACTCATTGGATGGACAAATTATTTCATGTTAGGTGTTTTACCTTTAACTATATATGTATTTGTGCAAATTTTGTGATTGCTCTCTTAAGACAGTTAAGGGTTACGTTAGTCATCAGATCTTACACAGGCATGAAGCAAATGCTCAATATCCATGTTGTTTCCCAGACTGCAAACTTAAGTTCACAAAATACAATGCTCTCAAAGCTCATGTTTATCGCCATCACAAAAGACAACAAACTCATTTGGATGATTCAACAGGCACGTTTGTTTGCAACAGTTCAAACTGTCAGCAGAAATTCCCAGACATAAACAAAGTCCTTTCTCATCTCAGGTCACATTTAGCAAAGGGAGAGGTGGTATGCTGTCCTTTTGAAAAATGTGACAAAATATTCAGTTTGAGATCAAGCTTTACTGCCCATGTTTCACGAAAGCACAGGACTTCAACATTTGCGAAATTAAAAATCTCTTTCTCTGAACAACCTTCCTCAGCATGTTTTGATGTAACTGAGGATGGAGGTGATGAAAATGCATTCCCAGATTCGCTGACTAAATCTAACACACAGTCATTGTACATGAAAAATCTTTGCCTGTTTTATATGCAGCTGCAAGCCAAATACCTGGTGCCATCGTCAACCATTCAGATGATTGTAGAGGAATTCAGTAGTTTAAATGATATCTGTCATCAGTACACAAAGAAAACGTTCGCAGACATACTTGGGTCAAAAACAACCCTTTCACAGTGTGATATTGATTCTGTTGTGCAGGCTTTGCAGGGCCATGATTTGCATTCAGCTTGTAATGCGTTACTTTCCACAGAATACCAAAGAAGGCAGTATTACCAAAAAAACTTTCCCTATGTGCATCCACAGACTATGTATCTTGGCCGTGATGAGAACAGAAAACTACGTCATGCACAATATATTCCATTGAAGAACACTTTAAAAACCATGTTGAAAGACCAAGTAGTTTGGGAGCAGTGTGCCAAGCCTCCACATGTACACTCTTTTGATGTGTTCTGTGACATCTGTGATGGATCTGTGTTCAAGTGCAATGACTTGTTTAGGGAGCCTGAGTTGAGAATCCAACTTGTCTTGTACCAGGATGCCTTTGAGATTGTGAACCCCCTTGGGTCAGCTAAAAAGACCCACAAAATGCTTGGAGTGTATTTTACACTTGGCAACTTTGAGCCATTTTACAGGTCATGCATTGACAACATTCAATTATTACTTTTGTGTTATGAGAGAGATTTTAATTATTTTGGTCAAACCAAGATTTTTTCTAAGTTGTTGGCAGATGTCAAAGAACTTGAAGAGCATGGAATCTTCAGGTGACATAGTACGTGCAACAATTGTGGCCATTATCGGTGATAATTTGGGCTCTCACTGCATCGGTGGTTACTCACAGAACTTCAGCACTGCCAAGTATTGCTGTAGGTATTGCTTGGTAGAACGCACTGAACTTCAGAATGCAAGTGTAGACTTTCCCAGTCGGACAGTTGATTCCTATAAAATGGCAGTGGAAACTGTAAAGACGACTGAAGAAAATGTTGTAAATCACTGTTAGCGATTTCTGTAAATTACACAGTATTTAAC